TTTAATTAAACATGTAAACCATAGAAGCTGGAGACTTTTTGAAAGTGTAGTCCCTTAAAAATCCTTTTAATCCCATTTGTTAGAAACTAATCCATACACTTTCAAATACACACTAACTGTAGCTCTCATTATAACAGCTAAATTACTCAGCCTGTGGGATCACACTCTTTGTTTTTTACTTCTTTCTTGCTTTTACACTTTCTTTTTCCTTTTAACTGCTTGAAAGGGAAGGCAGTATGTAGGAGATGTAAACCATGTCCTTGTGATTTAAAAACACTGGAAGCACATCTTTTCTGTGAGACACGCTTGACAAGAACTAAAAATAATTTCAGTGCAATTTGTGAGTGGAACTTTTTTTTTTTCAATGAGTCTGTCATTATGTCAACCTCATATATTCTCAAGACTAACATTTAATTGCAAACACCCAAAATAATCTAGATCTTCGCAAATAATCATGATTGAGTGATGTGCTATAATTGGCATAGACCAACAAACAGTTGCATTAAAGTTGCCCCAGAGACTGTAGTGTATTTCTGCCAGCTAAAGCACTCAGTACACAGTAAAATAAAAGAAGAAAGACTATGCAGTAAAGTTAATAAATCTTCAGTAAACTAAATTAATCATAGTGCCGGGAAGTAAAAGCGTGTTTGCCTGTTAATTCCTGATTCTGCATCCTTTTATGTCGTGACACGTACTGTAATGAAGTGTGGCTGCGTGAGTGTGGGAGCACACAGAACTGTTTCATCCAAAAAGCGAACACATCCTCATGGTGAGAAAGAAAGAAAGAAAGAATGAAAGATAGATGGAGAGACAGACAAGAAAGAAAGAAAGATAGAGAGACAGACAAGAAAGAAAGAAAGAAAGAAAGAAACGTGGATGGATGGATGGACGGATGGATGGACATGACAGAAAAAAGAATGAAAGTAAGAAATATGGATAGATAGCCAAACATGAAAGAAAGATGGATAGACAGATACAAAAGTAAGAAATATGGACAGCCAGAAAAAAAGAAAGAAAGATTGAAAGATGGAGAGACAGACAAGAAAGAAAGAAAGAAAGAAAAGGGAGCACATATAATTGCTTATCCAAAAAAAGAACCACATCCTCATGGTGATGTACAAGAAAGAAAGAATGATATATAGATGGACATGAAACAAAGAAAGATGGATGGATGGATGGATGGATGGATAGATGTGAAAGAAAGAAAGATGTATAGACGGACATGAAAGAAACAAAAATCAATAGCCAGAAAGAAAGAAAGAAAGAACCAACTGATGAGGCACAAAAGTCCTATAGTTTTACTCCATAAAAAAAAAAAAACCAGAGACTTTGAATATGCAAATTGTGGCCACAGCCAGCCCTGCAAGCTCCTCCCCCTTCCCTTCAGTTTAATACCCGAAAATTAGTATTTATAAACTTTAAAACCCAGTGGCTGTTATTAAACATGGCTCGACTGGGGTTTGTGGACCCTCCAGCACAAAGGTGTTGAAGTGCTGCAGCTGGAGCAGGAGGAGTAAAGTGCGGGGATGAGCCCCTTATTCTCCACCTCATTTATGTATGATTTATTCTTCATCAGAGCTGTGCTTTTTACAGGCCTTGCTGAGCCGGCCGATAAAATGTGCACCCCATTACTCGTGTGTGGAGAGAGAGGTGAAGCGACAGGAGCGAAGGGCTTAATGAGGGAAACTTAACGAGAGTCCCTTTAACGATTTTCACCACTGCATCTCTGCACACCTTTAAATTGCACATTACTTTCATTTCGACTCTTAAATCACTTTTATCTTGTGTGTGAAGTTCATTTTGGACACACACTTGTCACACGTGATCTTTTCACCTGCCAGAAAGGATGGTCATTTAATACACTCCACATGCTGAGCCAACAGTTTAGTAGCCCGTCAGTGACATGCGGTCGGTTGCTCTGACTTTTAAGTGAGATATAGATTATTTTTGTTGGATCACTCACCCTGCCTTCCTGTTATCCATCACTGTTCGGCAGCGCAGAGACGTCTGAGGCTGCCCTGATGCAGGGCGTTGCTGTGGAACAATGCGGCAATAAAGACGGAGCTGTTAGGCAGCTTTACGCAGGATCGGGTGAAGCTGCGGGGCTTTAGTGGAGCAGCTGGACTTTATCACACAACGACATGGAAATACTCAGCTCGGCTTTCTGTATTTACAGAGCCGTATTTGATGGGGGGATTGCCGGGGATGATGTCCGTCTGGTTAAAAATGACAAAAATCATCCCTCTTGTAAATCTAGCCTGCCACACCCTTTAAGATTAGGTTAATGACATATTTCCTTAAAAAAAAGAAGACAGCAGTAATACTGCATTGAGTTCAGCTTACCTGAGAAATGGGAAGTCTGAACCTCAAAATTGTGTCCTTTTTGACCTCTGAGCATTCAAGCTACAAAGTGAGTGGGGGGGAAAAAAACAAGTGGATGCCTCCATGTTCATCTTTTTTTTTCGTAGCAACGATCTATCCAGCTAACTGTGATGAGAGATGTATATTTTCCTCCACAAAACACTGAACTGTATAGTCAGTGTTAGAGTTAACAAGTGAATGTCTGTATGTTGACTGATCTAAAGCAAATACTATCACATACAGAATAAGTCATTTAAAGATAAGAAGTGTTAATTTGTTTACTGTGAGCAGCCATGTTGATTTGACGTCACTTGCTGAACTCGGAGTTGAGGAGACGGTCCGGAGTTTATGACTAGGAATTCCGAGTTGAGGGAGCATTTTCTTTGCTTTTACCTATGAGTTAAGAGTTTTATTCAAATGCAGTATAAATGTACTGTAATGGAGTAATGTAATGTAATGTAAATGGAGTTAAGACCGAATTCCAGACATTGTATGAATATTTAGTTTCATGTTATCAAGCTGCTTAGTAAGCTGGCTAACTAACTAATTGGTTCAAACTTTTTTTTCCCCTGCATGCCAATATTTTTTTCTGCATGCTCGTGTTGGATTGATTTTAGTTTCCTCCTCCTCGTGAAATGGGTTTTAGAGCATTTCCAGTGCAGTTTAATAGCAATTCAAAAACCTTGCTAGACAGATGTATTTAAAGTATTTAAAGCATAAGTGACTGAATATGTTTAGATTGACATATTTCACACGTCATTATTTCTGTCAGAGGTCAGTTGATGTGTGCAGGGCTGACATCATCACTAACACAGTTACTGTGAGAGTATACAGAGGAGGAATTTGAAGCTGGACAGACTAAAGCACTGCTGCATCACTCTCTTTAGAAAGCACTGGTACTACTATCAACAGGAATACAAATGACTTTCCTCCTGCTGTACATTTTTTAACATTTACACTCCTGGGCAAAAAAAAAAAAAAAAATGGGCCAAGCCCAAAATGGCAAATATTAGGCTTTTAACAACAATTCACTGGTAAGAAAATTAGGAAGAATTAAACAAATGCACTCCTGAGAGCTCCTGTGCCACCGTTTGCTCATTTACTTTTGCTGCAGTGAACTGTTTGGGGAAAAGCTAGAAACAGGGAAATTCCCTTGTATAGTCTTCTTGTACTCAAAGGTAAAATCATGATAATGATTAAAATGTTTTATATAACATTCAAACTAACACATGTCTGGGTGTTTTCCAAAAATATCTTCATGGATTTTTTTTTTCTTCTTACAAGATTAGTCATTATTTGGTTATCTGCCACACGTGATGCAGCCCATCAAGGGGCAAAAGGCTTAAACATTTAAAGAAATCAAAGGGAAAAGCTATCTCATACTAAGTTCCTTTATCTATTTGTTTAATTCTTGCTAATGTCTTGACTAATGATTTCTTAAGACCATTAAAAGCTTAATATTTTGCCATTTTGGGCTTGGCCCATTCTTTTGCCCAGGAGTGTAGTATCACTTAGCACATAAAGGTTACTAAGTCACCTACATATTAAGGGACCAAACGGTGTCTTTAGGCAATTTGTCAATGACAGAATTTTGTAGTTAATATGAAATAGCAGGTTTACGGTGGATAAAACATGTTTAACATGGACAGTCTGCTTAGTTCTGGTTAGAACTCTGCTGTGTTTTGTGTTACATTGAAGCTTCTTGAAACCTTGATCATGTGTCAAGGCACATAGTAATGATGGCATGTATTAATTTCTTAGCTTTTTGGGGAATATGAGAGACAAAGTCTGAATCAGTAGTTCACACTGTGAGTGTACTTAAGACAACAGAACAGTCATTATACTCAGGGCCAAATTTCCTGTCTTACCAGACAAACGTGATCCTGTATCACTACTATAATCATAGAATTAATTACCAATTGTTTTTTTTTTCTTGTGTGTTAATTCACATTTTGTATTCTTGTATCTTAATTTGTACTATAGTTTGTACGCTTTTGTTGTACTTGGTTTCACTGTATCAGTGTTGGTGTCTCCCAAATATTAACACCTAGACAACAGTAGAGAACTTAGTATGGAGCATTGAGGAACACTGTATTTGACTCTTTGAATGTTCAAAACAATCAATATTTAGTCAAACTAGTAATGATCATTCAAATAACACAATGCAAGAGCCTGGCTTCTCTCAGAGGCCCTGTTCACACCTGGCATTAACATGCGTCCTGGGTGATCAGGTCACAAGTGGTCAGCTCTAAGTACAGGTGTGAACGGGGTCAAGCGCATCTCGAAGATGCATTGTGATCCGATCACTCAAACCACATTCAGAAGTGGTCCGGTTTGTAGTGTGAACACAAATGCGTCTGGATGCGTCCCCGACAGCAGTGAAGAATCAGTAATCGACTGCGTTATTGCCGTAGCCAGAAAATATGTAATCATGTGATTGGAAAATGCCCTGAATAGTAGAGATCTCTGCCACTAGGCTAATGGATAAAGGTGACGCTATAACAGCAGAGACGAAAGCTGCTGCCTTTCATAGATTCTTTTGTCATCTCATCTCTCATTCATTTATAAGTTTTGTTAGCAGACCATGCTATTAAAATGTTTGAAACAGTCCGTAAAGTTACATGAGATATGATTCAATGGGAAGTGGTAGCTCAGTGGTTAAGACGTGGACTACTGATCAGAAGATCCCGAGTTCAAATCCCAACACTGCCACGTTGCCACTGCTGGTCTTGTGAGCAAGGCCCTTAACCTCAACTGCTCAGTTATATAAATGAGATCAATGTAAGTCACTCTGGATAAGGTCATCTGCCAAATGCCATGGATGTAAATGATTAAAACTTTTGAAATGGCCCTTAAAGGTGCATGAAATATAATTAAGGGCTTTTCTGCCTGAAAATCAATGCAGAGTAAGCCATAATACGTGTGTGTGATAGCCTTTCTCCAGTGGAAACAATGTATGAAATCTGATCACAAGTGGTCACTGAAGATGCATTCATAATGCGTCTCGGCTGTCCACTTGTAATCCATTCACCCAGAACGCATGTTAATGCCATGTCTGAACAGGGCCAGAGACAGCAGTTAGGTCTAGGAGGAGAGAGAAGATTATGGACTAATGCATTCTGAATATTGTGAGTCCTGAAAGCCTTCACTTATTGTCAAAGACAGTTATGAATATAACTGATCGAGTAGCTTTTTCCTTGGTCCTTGCAATAAAACTCTGATGGCTTTATCCTGACAATGACCTCCCATCGCACACACACACACACACACACATACAGAATATCGTATTCTGTCCCACAGTCCCTCACACAATATGGTCTGCTCTCCTTTCCCTCATTCCCAGTTGTCTTTCGTGCTCTCTCAGACAGATGCATGCCCTCAGTATGACCTCAGAATGTCCACTACTTTCCTGCTCTTTCAGAAAGACCAACACCAAAAGGCCCACTGAGCCATTTTATGTTTACTAGGTTATGCTCTAGCCACCTGAAGGAAGACTATAAAGCCAAATAGCATGGCAGTGATTCGGGTATTATATATATAATACTCTGGCAGAGACGGCTAGTCATGGTATTGAATGAGAAGGGCTAAAATAAATTCTGCTACGTCAGTAATTCTGTGTTACTATTATGAAACTCTTATGTTCAGCCTAATAGCATGGGGTCTCACAGGAATAAAACTATTACACATACACACAGGAACACACCAATTGAATGAGAGTTAAGCAACACTATATGTGATAGGTGTTTTTTTTTTGTTTGTTTGTTTTTTTTTTGCAATAGCAAGCATAATGAAGAGAAAGGTGAGCTAGTCAGTCAGCTCTTTTATCCATACTTTAATTTGTACTTTGATTGGACAGTATTTGCTTAGCCTTAGTAATCTACCTTGTTCCTGTTTATTCACTCACTATTGTATTTCACGTCTGCTTTCTCGCTTTCTCAGTCACTGCTGATGATATGTTATGGATGTGTCATTGAAGAGGGCTTAAATAAATTAGCCTAAAATGCACATGAAATCACGGACACATTTCACCAAGTGTAATGCATTGGCATGAATTTTACTTACTGTTAGAAAGAAATCAGCCCCAGCCTCCACTTCATACCCTTTTGTGTATTTTTACTTACAACCATTGGGGGTGCTGTTTTGCTTCCACAAAGTAATAAATAATCCACTTTAAGCCATTTTATAACAGCAAACTAGATACAGCCTTATTTTTATGTATTTTTCTGAAATCTGTACATGGACTAACAGCAATCATCTCTAATCTCAACCCACCAGAAGAGGAGTACTAATTAGAGCTGAGCGATATAACGATATAATGAAGTCGTGATAAATTATGTTACAATATGCTTTTCTGGGATATCACTGATATCGTGATATCTTTTTATTGATTTTTTTAAAAATAATTACAAACTAACTGGAAGCAGCTGATATTTAAAGTTTGTACTTAATCTTAAAAATTGTAAAATGTTTAAAAACATTCTCCTTTTCACTATTAAATATTTGCATTTGTTGTTTAATAAATAAAATAATTAAATCTAAAAAATAAATAAAAATTTCTTAATATCTGTAGACTTTAAATCATCAAACCGTTTTTTTTTGGTTTTTTTTGGTTTGTGAGAAAACCTATATAACGTGATAAGTGTTGTGTATCGTAGAAATGTCTTCAAGAATCGTGATATGATATTTTTGTCAAATTGCCTAACCTTAGGTCTTACACCGCTTCATCAGGCTTTGACCTTGCACTGACCTTCCCACTGTATATACATGGTTTTAGGTTTATGTCCGGGGCTACGTCAGTCTCAGTATGTTTTGTGAAAGTTGGTGTCCTCTATGCATGCCCAAAATTTGTATTTGTGGGTGTCTCGTGTGTGTGTGTGTGTGTCTGTAGGTGGCTTCCATCCCACACACAGCTCTATAGCCTGCAGGCATTTTCTACTGAATCCCATTAGCCTGTCTTTTCCAGTGGAAATGGCAAGGCTTAGTGTTCGAACAGGCCACTGCTAGCACATCATTAAACTGTAATGAATGCCACGGTCGACCGCTGGAATGAGCCAATGTGTGTATAGAGCCTCGGGTCCTAACAGCAGCCTCCGCTCTTACACACAAGTCAGACCGACGTGGAACATGCAGTGCCTAAATCAGGACTGTGTCTGAAAGTGAGAGGGACTGTTACCTGTGCTGTAGAGAAGGATTTGTCATTTTGTCAGAAACTCTGTGTAAGCATGTTGCTGCGTTTTTACCCTCATGCGCATCTATACATCTCACCTCCATTGATGGAAAGATGTGCTTAGGTCCGCTTAACCGAGCTCCATCAGTGGACAGAAGGTCCGCCTCTGTCTTTTTAAACCATATTCATGAATCTTCTCCTTATCTCTGCATATTATTAGGGATGCTGAAATATGGCAGGGGTTCTCAAACTTTTTGCAGCCAGACACCCCTGTCCACTCTTTAGAAAAAAGTTTTCACCACAGATTTATTTCATGAGCACAGACTAAATATTCAGCTGTTACCCACATTATGCTGTTATGAACCATCATGTTTATTTATGAGAGTCATTAAAGCTTATTCCTGAACTATTTACCACCCATAAAACCTAACCCAGTTACAGAGTGTTAAAATGTAGATTCAGAACATTGTGTATCAGACAGCGCTTCTTCTACTTTGATTAAAATTGCATTTAGGGTTGCATTAAATTATTGAGCTTCAGAATGAACCAAATTCAATTTAGGTGAAAAGATGGTCAAGCTGGTAACTAGATATGTAATGGTAACTAGGTAATCAGGTAACTATATTAACTAAAGCAACTGTAAAAACAGTTTTCATTATGATGAAATAAGTTAAAATGCATAAATAGGATAGATGGACAGAAGGAAGGGAAGAAATAATTAATAAAGTAGTTATGTATGAATAAATATATTTATTTAATAAATAAATAAATAGGGTGGATTGATGATTTGTGGATGGATGGAAGGAAAGAAATGAGTAAATAAGAAAAATAAGGAAGTATATACAGTATAGAATATATATTATGGAAAGAAGGAAAAGGAGGAAACAAAAGAAGGAAGTAAATAAGTAAGCAAGTAATAAGATAAATACAAATAAATAAATACATACATACATAAATAAATGGGATTTATCAGACCCTCCTTTTATCTGTACCTGTGCAATTTTTGACAGACATCTGAACATGACCAGGACCAGTAGTAGAATCTACACACCTCCATGTTGCAGTAGTACCCAAAACTGATAATAATGAATGTGAAAGACTGAAATAATGCCTCATGTACACTTCTGTTCCCTCAAAAATTCCTTCCAGTGACATTTTTGGCACTAGAGCTTAACCATGAACCAAACTTGTAGGTGTGGGGTCCATGAGCCACAAACGGAGTCTAATTATTAGATGTGTATTCAGTTGGTGTATGATGATCCTCCCACGTTCTTCTCTGTTTCAAGGGCACAGCCTCCTCTGGTGCAGTGCTGCTGAAAGAAAAGAGGCGAGTGGTAATCAGAGCAGATTGAGGAGCCCCAGAGCAAGCTAATCGGCTCTCCCATGTCAGGGTGGGATATCCTGCCATTCTCCGATACGCTCAGCACGCCACTCTCTGGCCAGCTGGGAGTAAGGGGAGGGTCACCTTACTGCACCATTTACTGTAGGGAGGGTTTGGGTTCCTGTGTGTGGTTAAGATGGGTCTGGTAGGAGTCAGAGTGGGTCTGAAAGAGAAATTGGCAATGAGTCGACATGGACACTCAAAGACTTGTAGGCATTACTTCATTTTAAAAAATGCATAAGATCCCAATGCTTATGGGTTTAATATACATACATATCACTTTGTAACAGTCAGTAACATCAAGAGAGAGACAAAGAGAGGCTAGTGAGGGAAAGACTGCTTATAGCTGCTATAAGGTAAGTGATAACAGGAATTATCTTGTTTCTGGGATGAATTACAACGTTAAATGTAACTATAAATGGTTAAAAAGCATGATGTGTTCTTCATTAATCAGACCATCAGACCAGATTATTTTCCTGTAACAACACAGCCCCACAAGTGTTGTATTCCTAGTGTAATGCGAGCCTCTTGGGAAAACCCGAACCAATATCCCAAATGAAGTGCTTAACTGAGCAAATCCGAGTTTTCTGCGTTCACCTGATTTTCTTACATCCTATTTGAACGCCGTTTCCCCAGTAACCCGTACCTGCGAAGCATCGGAGCTGGAGAACTGCTTCTCTTGCCTGGTGGTAAAATGTTAAGTATCAGATTAAAAATAGCTGCTCCTAGGAGGGATGAAAAAGCCAGACCTGCTGTGAATTATGTGTGACTGGGTCCACCCGTGAACTGTGAGAAGATCTGCGCTCTCGGTTCTCCAGCGACCTGGCTGTGTGGGTCGTGCACATAATTAGAAAAACCCCAAATACCCACAAGACCCTGAGCTATATGTGTTTGCATGCACAAGTTCTTTTCAATCTGCTGTGATTATTTAGCGTTTAGCTTCTTCATTATTACAGCAAGCAGAATGCTGGGAGTTAAAATGGCAATATAAAGCTTGTTCTCTCTTCCTGAGGAAAACAGTGAACGAATCAGGAATTGTATTTATATTATTAGTTCTCTAATTTCTGCAGCACCCCTCTTCTTTGAGAGTAGGAGGCTCTCGATCAGCTTCTCTGCCACTGTGCAAGCTCAAAGATCACACCGAGAATTTCTTAGGGTTGCAAG